GCTCCATCAACTACACTATCCTGGAGAAAGCCAACGGCAAGTTTCGACCCGTGGGCACGGATTCCATCTTCAACAATGTTGTCAACCGCGCTCTGCTCGAGCAACAGCAGCCCCATATTGCCCACTTACTACAGGCCAGTCCAGAGCTGGCCGTCGGAGTCAAGGACGGCATTTCAGCAGCGGTTGGCATGGCCTTTGGTGAGCTTCAAGCCTGTGAGTCTACCCCGGGCTGGACCATGCTCTCCCTCGATTTCAAGAGTGCCTTCAACTACACCGACCGAGCACGGCTGCACGAGATTGTGGCCGACAAGGTCCCTGGCCTCTTGCGCGCCTTTGAACGACACTATGCTCGACCCACTACTCACTGCATTGTCGACAAGTTCTTCAAGGTGATTGACATTGATGTTGGCCAAGGCATTGTGCAGGGCAACGAGCTATCGCCCTTCTTCTTTGCCCTGTACTCCTGTGAGGTCCTGGGTCTCCTCGACGCCACCACTGACTACCGCTGCAAGGTCATCAAATACCTCGACGACATTGTACTGATGGGTCCCGCGGAGGACGTGGCGGCCGACGTCGAGATTATCAAGGCTCGTGCAGAGTCTGCTGGCCTTCATTTGCAGCCCAGTAAGAGCCGCTTCTACATGCCTCGCCACCATCCCGCTTCCATCGCTGCTATCGAGTCTGTCTTGCCAGATGCCGTGCGCGAGACGGCCAACACGGGCATGACTATTAGAGGCACAATCTGAGACGGTATACTTTACCACGTTGTGTGTCCTCTGGTACTTGATGTTGTCCCACCTTGTTGTGTAACATCTTGCTGTACCATCTTGGTGTATCATCTTGTTGTGGCATCTGTTGGTCCCAACAGATTGCTGATATCGCTTCCACCTGTCTTCAGTGTGATAGTCCATTCTCTGTCTCCACTGTGTGTGTGTTTCCACCTGCTATAAATGGGAGCGATCTCCCTGGATCGGTACCATTTTCCTTCTTGACCTCGGTCGTTCCACTTCCCTCCTTCTGTCTTGTTCTGTCTTGTTCCTTCGCCTTGCTTCAATCCATGTTCTCGTGTACACTTCGACTGGTTGGATACCTCTGTGACAATCGCCTTGTCCACACACATTACACTGTACTGGACATATACCTTTAATAATGACGGTCTTGGGAACGCCGATTGGCCGTCGCGAGTGGATGAAGAATAAATAAATTAGGTGTTTGAACCTCAGAGCTGAAAGCAAAGCTGTGCAACCCCGACAACAAAATCACGACGGCACGCAAAACAACACAAGAGAACAAGCTACATTCATCGGCTTCTATCATGCCAAGAAGTACAAGCGCGAAGAATCACGCACATAGAA